TTAGAAAACTACATTTCCTCCTCCATGGCAATCACCATTCTGTTTTCCATTTCAATGAATTTGACCACTGTAAGTACCTCATATCAGTAGTTCCAAGTATTTGTTTTTTGGTGACTGAGTATTTCATTTAACATAATATTTTCAATATTCATTAATGTTATAATATATGTTTCCTTCCTTGTTGAGGTTTCTTTTTTGAGACTTACATAATATTCCATTTTATGTAAGTACACTTATTTATTCATCCATCAATGGGCTAGTGCCATCTTTTGACTCTTATGAATAATGCTGCCATGAATATGGGTATGCAAGTATCTGTTTACGATCTTGTTTTCAATTCTTTTTCATATATACCTAGAAGTAGAATTGCTAGATTATGTGGAAAATCTGTTTTTAATTTTTTGAGTAACTTCTGCACTGTTTTTCAGAGTTGATGCACCCTTTTACATTTCTAATGTGCAAGTCTTCTGGATCCCCGCATCCCTGCTAACATTTATTTATTCTGGGTTTTTGTTGTTTGTTTTGTTTGTTTCTTCTCTTTTTTTTTAAAAAAAATATATTTATTTTTTAGGTGTAGATGGACACAACACAATGCCTTTATTTTTATGTGGTGCTGAGGATCGAACCCAGGTCCCGCCCATCCTAGGCTAGTGCTCTACTGCTGAGCCACAATCCCAGCACTGTTTGTTCTCTTTTCTTTTTGCAATATTGGGGATTGAACTCAGAGGCATTTTACCACTGAGCTACATCCCCAACTCTTTTTCTTATTTGAAACAATGTCTGAGTTGCCCAGGCTGGCCTTCAACCTGAGATCCTCCTGCCTCAGCCTCCTGAGTAACTGGAATTACAGGCTGTGTCTCTTATCCCAGCCTCCCTGTTTTTTTTTTTTTTTTTGATAGTATCCATCTTAATGGCTATGAGGTGATACTTCATTTACTTTTAGTTTTCAGTTTCCTAATGATTAATGATGTTGAGCATCTTTCATATGGTTATTGGCTATTTGTGTATCCTCTTTGGAAAGATTTCTGTTCAAATCATCTTTTGCTTATTTTTAAATTGTTTTTTTTCCCCCTACTTTTAAAATTTTCAGTTTTAGATAGTGGATTGACACTAGAAGAGAGACATTTTTGAATTTACATTTCCTTTAACTTTTTCCACATCTTGATTTCTTTGTAAATTTTACATTGTAAAGGTTTAAACATTATCCTATTCTTTAAGTCATAAAATGTTCCTTAGCCTTTTGTAAAATACATTTATAAGATGAAGTGCCAAGAAGTGTGATTAAATGCTTAGAGAGGGAAAAATAATCTTATGTCAATAAAACATTTTTCTTTTAAAAGTTTCTCTTTGATGTTTTGGGCTGGAATGTTTTCTTGATCATATTTATCCCATCTGTTTTTAATCATCTAGGGTTTTCTCATTCTTTCTGTTCTGCTTCTGGTTCCTTTTTTGTTATTAAGACTTTAGTAATTTGTTGTTTCAGTTTTCTGTCATGTCAGTGGACCCTTAGGAAGAAAGCAACAAAGATATGTTTACTTCAGCTATATTAGAAGTGTTGTATGTTGCTTTTAGAAGGTAGAATTAACTGAAAAAATGAAAAAAGGCAGGGGGGCAGGGCCAGGTATAGAGCTCAGTAGTAGTGAACTCTTGACTGTTATGCACAAGGCCATGGGTTTAAGCCTCAGTACCACTAAAAAAAGAAAGAACGGAAAAAGAAAAGTAGAAAGGGGGCCGGTGTAGCTCAGTGGTAGAGTATTTGCCTAGCATGTGTGAGGCACTGGGTTCAATCCTCAGTACCACACAAAAATAAATAAAATAAAGGTATTGTGTCCATCTATAACTAAGAAAAAAGTTTTTAAAAGATAGAAGGTAAAATTATTTTTGTCACTCTAGTGAGGTTTCGCTCCTAGAGTACTGTATGAAATAGAATTTTTAAAAATTATTATTAAATACATATAAATATGCTATTTTCTAGGTATTATTCCAAGTATTACAAATGTTAATTAAGTAAACTTATTAATCCTCATTATGTCATCTGAGGTATTATTATTCCTATCTTATAGATGAGAAAATTAAGGCATAAAGAAGTTAAGTAACTAACTCACTTCAGGTCACACACTAGCTGGTAAGTAATAGAGCCTGGATTCAAACCCAAACATGCCAGATCTGGTGGTGCATGCCTGTAATCCCAGCAGCTCCAGAGGCTGAGGCAGGAGCATCATGAGTTCAAAGCCATCCTTAGCAATTTAGTGAGGCCCTAAGCAAGTTAGTTAGATCCTGTCTCTAAAAATATATATAAAAGAGCTGGGCATGTGGCTCAATGGTTAAGCACCCCTGGGTTTATTCGCCAGTGCCAAAAACACCCCTAAATATTTTGGTTTTAGATTTCAGAGTTTTAACCACTATATTGGGACTACCTCTCATATGCCTTTCTGGGATGCTTTTAATTTCTTTGTACTTCCTTAGAGTCCAACATATGACACCTCTCTTCATTGAACATAAACTACTTGAACATCCACTGTGGGTCAGAAGCTGCTTAAGGTAGTGGTAACACAGTATCAGTAAAATAAAGTACCTAATCTTCCCTTGTGTGCCTTTTAAATAAATTTGCAAGATGGGATTCTGTGTGTCTAGTCTGACAGTTACTGTAAAGATTAAATAAGATAAAGGCTTGTTAAACACCTCAAGCATAATAAGTATTATAAGTATTCTGTAAATGTTTATAGAAAAAGAAAACATAATAATAGTGCATTTGCTTGTACTGGGGAACAGGGCTTCACACATCCAGGCAGGTGCTGTACTAGCTACATCCCAGATCTGAAAGTATTTCTTCTGCATTCAGTTGGGAGATATTTGAGTTCCTATTATCTTCTAGTTGTTTACAATTTAGTAGAAGATGTGTTATCAGTATATGGTGAGTTGATGGTATGATACCTGTTGGACAGTTTAATGGAAGTTTTAGGGCCCATCACAGAGTAGTTTCCCTCATTCACCACCATACACTGAGCCCTAAACTGAGGGAATGTCTGGATTAGACTTGAATAATTAATATCTAAATGTGTGGGGTTGTGAGTAAATCAGAGTTGGAAGTGGCGGATCCAGTGGAAAATAGAAATTAGAACCAGATTATCAAGAGTTGTAAGTACCACACAGAGTTGAAATTACAAATTTATTTATTTATTTATTTTTAAAGAGAGAGTGAGAGAGGAGAGAGAGAGAGAGAGAGAGAGAGAGAGAGAGAGAATTTTTAATATTTATTTTTTAGTTCTCGGCGGACACAACATCTTTGTTGGTATGTGGTGCTGAGGATCGAACCCAGGCCGCATGCAYGCCAGGCGAGCGCGCTACCGCTTGAGCCACATCCCCAGCCCGTGAAATTACAAATTTAGAAGATCTCTATATGAACATAGTAGTTAAAACACTGAATGTGAATTAGATTTCAGAGAGAGAATGAATGAATGAATGTGAGAGAAGGTATAAAGAATGTCTTGTGATCAAAGACAAAAGGAGACACAAGTGTTCAGAATGGTAGACAGAGTCAGGGAAGCATATTGTTATAAAGGCCAAGGCCACAGAGTTCTGAGGGGCAGAAAAGTACAGGTGCTTGGTAAAATAATGATAACCAAGAAAAGGCCGTTTGATTTCTATTCTTGTTTGGCTTTCTGTTTACCTTTGTAGTATTGAAAGACTTCAGCTGTAACTTTTTTTGCAGATAACTAAAATTTTAATTTCTTATTTCCTATTCTGTGTTCCAACTACCCAAGTTAGTTCACAGTACTGTCATTTCCATTTATTTATTCTGTGTAGGCTCTGCTTTGGCTACTAGGAGGATTTTGATGAAAAAGTCCTTGCTTTCACCTTTACCAAGCTTATATTTTAGCTGGGACAGATGGTGGACTATAAGCATTTGTATATCTATCCAGTGGTAGGGAAAATAGGTTGTAGAGGAAGCTGGAGCCAGTTCATATGGTTCCCTTGTGAACCCTGCTAAGGACTTTGGATGTTGCTCTGCATGACTATATATGCATTTGAATAGTTTAAAACAGAGGAAGGACATGAACTACATTAATTTTGTAAAAACCTTAGAACACAGTCTGATACATAGGGATCACTGTGTAAGTGTTAAATAAAGAAATTTTCAATCTATTTAACTTGCATTTGAGTGGATCACTGTGGCTATTATGTGGAGATTAGGTCATAGGAAACCTTCTGCTGGCTCTGGAGAAAACCACAAGCCTGTACTTTAAAACATTTTCTTACACTTTTAAATCTTATAGTGAATATCTGCTCTGTGAATTTATTTAAACTCTTGTTCATCTAATGCTGATCCAAAGGAAATACATATTGTATGTCTCTTCCTATATGTTTTGGGTTACTTACCTTAAAATATGAGTCACTTTAAAACCAATTTTGGCAAACTGTAATTCTTATGGGTAAAAGGTGAAAATGAAGGCAGAGAGATCTAGAAATTATGCTGTACAAATAATGATTAACAGATTTATTGGTGGTTAATCTGTGAAAGTCAAGGCTAGTGGGCATAACATGACAGAAGGGCATCTCTTGGATGAAGGGTAGACTTTTAGGGGAAGGGAGATATGGGACTGGTGTTTGAAACAGATTTCAGTTAAACATAAAGTAGAAGCTTATATAGAGAGCCGTTCAAGAGCAGAACAAAATTCCTCCCGAAGGAGTAAAGGTCTGATAACTAATGTTAAGGCAAAAGTAGGGCTGTCATCTGTTAGAACAGCTAGAGTAGGCTTTCTCAATGAGGGGAGATTGAATTAAGGTTTCTCATTAATCCAACATCTTTGTCTTAAGAAATTTAATATTGATATTTAAATTTTTCCTTTATAAAACTATAAAGGATAGTTTTCTGGAAGTAGTACATGCTGATGCACACACAAGTTGGCTAAACTTCATCAAGTTATTAAGCATTCAATAATATATAGATTATTATAGTTTAATTCATTTTCAAACTTAAAACTCCTTTTCTTTTTCAGGGATATCATGATAACACACTTTGAGCCTTCCATCTCCTTTGAGGGTCTTTGCAATGAGGTTCGAGACATGTGTTCTTTTGACAATGAACAGCTTTTTACCATGAAATGGATAGATGAGGAAGGTGAGTGGTAAAGAGAGGGCTGCCTATGTTAGCATCTGATTTAAGATATTATTCTGCCATTTTGTTTTAAAAATATAATAAAAGTGTTCTAATAAATTTAAGGGAGAAAGGTAGATCAGGAATTTAATGTCTTTCTTATTTTTTCTTAAAGTATTTAAAAGAGTACTATAAAGCACAATCTTTGTTTTACCATTTTTTACTCCAAAATGAAGTAAATTTAATTTGATTTTTTTTTCAGCAGTAAGGTAAATATCTAATCAAATAGCGCAACATTTTCTTTAATTTGTAATATAAATGTTGTATCATATTTTAAGAAATTACCTACTTTTAACTGAATGCTACCATAAAATATTATGGAATCAAAGTGATTGTGATAACCATTATTTCAAAGTAATGTCAGAAACTTGATACCTTAGTGACTTGTCTTCCAAAGCATTTATAGAATACCAGTGTGCTGATAGATACTTCCTACTCAAACTCAGAGTCTGATAGGGAGATGGCTGTATGTATAGCAAATGTGATGAATTCTGGAACATATAAACACAGGTCTTCAGGGAATACAAAAGAAGTAGTACCTATACCTACCTGAAATATCTTCAATGTTTGAACTAAACCTATTATAGAGAATAAAAGTTTTAGGGATGGAGGAGGTTGGGAAAACTATGTAGGATAAGAATAGAGTATAAAAGGGCACAGAGGTATGAAATACATAATTCACAAAAGATCAAGTTATTCACTAAAGATCAAGTATAGGTAGTTACAAACTTGGTCTAGATCCTTATAACTCAAAGTTGTGATCTGCAGAACTTAACTAGAAAGGGGGGCTCTCAGTCTCCATCTTACTCTGCTGAATTAGAGTTCACATTTTAGCAGGATCCACTGGTGAATTGCATGCATATGCAAGTTTGAGAAATACAGGACTGGATCTCAAAAGACATTACAAACTATATTAGACTTTATTTTACATGATAGAGTGTAATTAAAAGTTACTCTAAATACATTACTTTTGTATAATGGTTTTCTGTTAATTGAAATACAAGTAAATTTTATTTTGAGTAATATGATTATAATGTTTAGCTCAATATTTGGAGCCATTTTTGGTATCAGGAGCTCTGGACAGACATTACTCCAGTTCCAGGTTACTAGTAATTCAAATGCATTTTCATTTCTTAAACAAGTTTTTAAAAGTTTCTCGAAAGTATTCAGTGTTAACTGTTTTAGGAAAAAAAAGTAGTATAGATATTTATGAAATTTAAAAGAAAACCTCCTATTTGTCCTTGTTACCTCTCCTTCCTCACCAATACTAGTTGTAAAAGAAGAATTACTTGTAACAGCTTATTATATATCTTTCTAGACAATTTCTGTTTTAGTCAGCTTTTTTGCTGCTGTAACTAAAGGATCTGACCAGAACAACTGTAAGAAAGAAAAATCTATTTGAGGGCTCATGGTTTTAGAGGTCTTAATCCATAGAAGGCTAGTTTCATTCCTCAGGGCTCCGGGTGAGGCTGAACATCATGGTGGGAGAGGGTGGCAGAGGGAAGCAGCTCATATCACGGTGTTCTGGAAGTGCAGAGAGACTCTACTTATCATATTTAAAATACGTAAACCATAGCCACACCCCAATTCCCACCTCCTTTAGCCATACCCTACCACTTTAGTTTAGGGGTTAACTCACTGGTTAACCTAAGGCTATAACCCAATCATTTCTCTTCCAGATCTTTTGCATTGTCTCACATGTGAGCTTTTTGGGGATACCACATCTAAACCATAACAGTTTTTGTGTGTATACAAATGTGTATGTCTTTTTTTTTTTGGTACCTGGAATTAAACCTAAGAGCACTTAACCACTGAGCCACATCCCAACTGAGCCACATTCACAGCCCTTGTTATTTTATTTTTTATTTATTTTGGATACCAAAGATTGAACTCAGGGACACTCAATCACTGAGCCACATCCCCAGCCCTATTTTGTATTTTATTTAGTCTCACTGAGTTGCTTATTAGCACCTTCCCATTGCCGAGGCTGGCTTTGAACTCTTGATCCTCCTGCCTTAGCTTCCTGAGCTGTTGGGATTACAAGTGTGCGCCACTACGCCTAGCCCTTTTTATATTTTTTTAGTTTGAGACAGAGTCTCACTAAGTTACCTAGGGTCTTGCTAAGTTTCTGAGCCTCAGACTTTTTTTTTTAATTAAAAAAATTCTTTGTTGTAGATGGACACAATACCTTTATTTTATTTATTTATTTTATGTGGTGCTGAGGAAGGAACCCTATACCTCACATATGCTAAGCAAGTGCTCTACTACTGAGCCACAACCCCAGCCCCTGGCTTTGAACTTGTGATCCTCAGGCCTCAGGCTCCCGAGCCACTGGGATTACAGGCATGCACCACCATACCTGGCACAAATGTATATGTCTTATAAATTATTTATTAGCACAGTTTTATTAATATAAACTTATAAACTGTTATATACTATTTTCTTTTTACAAGGTGTGTTGGACATTTTTCATTTTAGTGTGCATCCATTCCGATCATTGTCTTTTTAAAAAATATTTTTTAGTTGTCAATGGATCTTTATTTAATTAATTTATTTATATGTGGTGCTGAGAATTGAATCCAGTGCCTCATACACACTAGGCAAGCTTTCTACCACTGAGCCATGACCCCAGCCCTCATTGTCTGTTTTTAGCACTGCATTGTGCTGCATGTTGTAGGTGCTTCTTGGATTTATTTTTTAATCCCTTATTGATGGACATTTGACTCATTTTTCACTACTATAAACAGTATAATTTATATAGTCATTTGCAGAATGTGTACATCATGAGTTTGTCATCAAAAAATGTTAAACCAATGAATAAAGTCATAACTTTATTTTATGTGTCTGCATGAATGTATCAAAATGCATTCCAATTTTATGTGTAACTATAATGTACCAATTAAAAATAAATAAAAGGATAACAGAGTACAAGAAAGGAATTGGGGAGGCAGGAGGGGAAAGAAAGAGGAAGTACTAGGGATTGAAATGGAGTAAACTATGTTGTATACATTTTTTACTGTGACTCCCATATATGTATAACTATAATGCACTAAAAAATATTGTTTTAAGTTAAACCAAATGATAAGCATGTGAGGTAATGAATATGTTAATTAACTTGCTTATATCAGAATATCATGTTGTACACCATAAATATACAGTTTTTCCTTTTGTCAGTTAAAAAAATTAATAAGAATGTTAAACTGGTTAATGACACAACTACATCACATGAGAGGATCTTTTCATTTTTCCCCTTACCACCTCAGATATTATGAGTTGCTAACATTTCGCAAATATAAGTGAAATGCCAACTTGATATTTAAATTGTGTTATTTGAGAGGACGACTAAGTGTCTTAATCTATCCAATCATTTTTTTACCTACTCTATCCAAGGTTAATTTAAATATAATTAATTATCAATGTCATAGATATCTTCCAGTAGATCTTCAACCTGAAATGAGACTAATAATTTATCACAGTACACAGCATATGCTTTTAATAAAATGCTTCCTGTCATGAACATGAACTAGTGTTATTTTTATTGCTTCTATCCTGATCAGTTCATACATTTGTTTGTATTTTAGTGGGGTTTTTTTGTTGTTGTTATTTGTTGTTTGTTTTTTTCAGTCAAAGTGTTCAAACTGTAACTCACTTGGAGTCACTGAGTAATGCTTTGTATTAAAAGAACTTGGTTTAGAGATAATCCATTAAATATTTTTATAATACCTTTGTTCTTTATGTTGTCTTTGCCTGGAAGGTTCTTTCCTATATTGTCACATGGCTGATCTTTGTCATTTGAGTCCTAGTTATATTATGTCCTTCAAGGAGCCTTATTCTCATTCGTACCTGTTTCTTCTTACCCTGTTTTTTTTTTTGCCCCCCACCTCCACTTTTTTGGGGGGGCTGGGTACCAGGGATTGAACTCAGGGGCACTCAACCATTGAGAACATCCCAGCCCAATTTTGTATTTTTTTTTAAAGACAGGGTGTTATTGAGTTGATTAATGCCTCACCATTGCTGAGGCTGGCATTGAACTCGTAATCCTCCTGTCTCAGCCTCTGGAGCTGCTGGAATTACAGGCTGTATGTTACCACCTTGCCCACCCCCCCCCATTTTTTTTTAATTGATAGTAGAATATAGACTCCATGAGAGCAGAAATCTTACCTGCTTTGTTCACCATGGAACGCCAGGGTCTATAGCAGTACTTAATAATAGTGTGTTCAAAAAATATTTGCAATTTGTACAAAAGGCTAGTAACAACCTTCCCCAAATTTGGTTTTACTTCAGCTATTGTAGACTTAAGCATTGGAAGTTGCTGTTCATTCTGATATTTTCTTAAGGTAGTATTTTAATTTACAGATTTATGAGGTGAATTAAATTAATTCTTTGAAATAGACTTCTTATAATGCAATTCATAGTTCTCTCTCCTCAAATAGCTATTGTGTGTTCTAATTTCTGGGTGAGACTATGGAACTGTAGCCTTTGCCTTGCTTACATTAAAAGTTAAATTTTCTGTATGCAATCTTTAAATTCTGATACCATTTTTTTCTTAATTTTAGGCACACAGAGGCAATAGTAATAATTATTTTTTCACAATTGCAGTTGACAGTACTATAATTTGATTTCTGTAACATAAAAAACATCATTCTTGAAACTAAACATTTAATTGTGGTGAATTATGTTGGAGTACATGAAGATCATAAGCTCACTTCATCTCTCTCAACAGATTTAAGGCAATCACCTTTTGACCTGTTACTTAAAACCAGTTTTACTGATTTGTTTTGATGTGAAAGAACTGTCTTGACTAATTAAGTAAACATTTTTGAAGGAATTGTCATTTTGTAAACATCATTCTCCCTTCCCCCGTCCCATAATACCATTTTTTTTGAAAAATCATTTTTAATATCTTTATTTCATTTATTTATTTTTTATGTGGTGCTGAGGATTGAACCTAGGACCTTGCACACGCTAGGCGAGTGCCCTACCGTTGAGCCACAACCCCAGCCCCCCTCCATACTATTTTATTTTATCTTATTTGCTGTGCTGGGGATCAAACCCAGGTCCTCTAGGCATGTGCTCAGCCACAGAGCTATACTCCCAGCCTGTCATGTGCCCATGTATCTGTTTTTAATTTTTGTTTCATATAATTTGTTATATATATATTTTTTTAGTTATAGATGGACACAATGCCTTTATTTATTTTATTTTTATGTGGTGCTAAGGATCAAATCCAGTGGCTTATACTTGTGAGGCAAGTGCTCCACCACTGAGCTACAACCCCAACTCCCATGTATCCTTTTTTTGGAAGTTCTAGGGATTGAACCCAGGGCCTTCTTCACATGCACATGCTAGGCAAGTGCTCTACCCCTGAGCTGTGTAACTTTGATCCCAAGTTTGATTACAACTGAGTGAATTTAGCCTACTGGCTTATTTTTCTAACTGGAAGGATACTTTGTATGCTTATTAAAATGTGAGACTTCTGTTATTCTTTCATCTGCTGCTTCTCTGTTTAGCTTTGTTTTGTAGTTAAATATAATTCTGTAGACACAGAAGTTGTTTGTTAATTTTGGTAGTTGTAGATAGGCAGCATGCCTTTATTTGTTCATTTGTATATGATRCTAGGGATTGAACCCAGTGTCTCACACATGCAAGGCAAGTGCTCTGCCACTGAGCTATAGCTCCAGCCCCAGAAGTTGTTTTTTAACTTATGTATAAAATGAAATGTAATTACTGACTTACTTACTTTCTCTCCCCCCCCCCCCCCCACCCTCTCTCTCTCTCTTTGGCATAGTAATAGTGTTGAACTCAAGTCCTCATGCATGTTAGGCAAGTATTCTACCACTGAGTTACATCCTTAGCCTTTTTAAAATTTCATTTTGAGACAGGTTCTCACTGAATTACCAAGGTTAGCCTTGAACTTGTGTTCCTTCTGCCTGAGCTTACCAAGTAGCTGGGATTATAGGAATGCACCACCTGGGTGTATTGACTTTAATTTATGTGACAAAATGGAAGAAATTTATATAACTGAAGAAGTGAATCTTTGTAAATGAGTGACTTTATTTCTTTTAGGCAAGGTGAAACAACTTTTGTAAACTTTTCTAGACTAGAATGCTAATTTGTTATCCGATTTATTTAAAACAACAACAATAAAAACACTGAAGTAGCCACTTAGTGGTGCAAGTCCTTAATCCCATCTGTTTGGAAACTGAGGAAGGAGGATCACAAGTTGGAAGCCAGCCAGGGCAACTTAATAAGACTGTCTCAAAATAAAACATTCTGGGAATATAACTCAATGGTAATGTGTCCTTGGGTTCAATCATCAGTTCCAAATTTTTTTTAAATTAATAAGGGATAGGAATGTAAATATGGTAGAGCTTTTGCCTAGCTTGTACAAGCTCCTGGGTTTAATACCTGCTACTGCAAAAAAAAAAAAGGTAGTTTGGGCTTTCCATTATTCATCAGTTTATTGAATACCTACTCAGTGCAGACTGTGTCAGGTAGATACTATGAGGAATAAAAAATGAATATAGTTAACTAAGAAGGATTAATAAAATAATGTTCAGAGAAGATGAAAGGAAGTAGGGATTTAGTGACCAAATTGGAGAAAAGTACACAGGCACTCTTTTCTTCCAGACAGCTGGAAAGGAAATGAGTTCATTTCTTAATTTTTCTCTCAAGTAGTAGGCAGAGTTCTCTGTCAAGAATGACTGAGTTTGGGATGTGGTTGATGGCAGATGGCATCTAGTGCATAGTGAGGTTTAGTTTAACACAGGAATGAGCAGAAGAATGGCACAGTGCAGGCCTCAAAATTCCTTCTAAAGACTCCTCTATTAAGGAATGTCATTGCCCATGAAAATGTGCCACCTCTTGATTACCAGTTGGCTAAGGGACATATTCCTTCCTTTCTCCATTTCAGTGTTTACTAAAACTGTGCGTTTATATTTAAAAGCAGCTCAAGTGGGGCTTTTCTTAAGTTTAGAGTACTTTAGTTATGAAAGAAAAATTGACAAAATGATTCCATGGAGACCTCTAACCATATTGTGGTAATGGAACTACTTTCACTTCTGGTAAAGTAGCAGGTAACAGCTTGCTCTGGACCATTTCCATTAATCATACTGCAGTGACAGTTTGAAATATGGTCAAATTTTGTTTGGTGCATTTTGAATATTAAGAACAAAATGGCTTATATGTATAAAATGTTGTCTTTGTGAGCCTTATGTAATATTTGTACAAATGGAAATGGAAGTTATGTCACCTACTTCAGAGAATAGAATTGTCTAAATAAATAGCAAAAGCTCTGTCTTTATCATATATTTCCCAAAATATTATATTATGGAATTTGTTTACTAATCATCACATTTGGAGATTTTAAAAATTGAGCTTTATTTCTTATTTTTTAGGAGACCCGTGTACAGTATCATCTCAGTTGGAGTTAGAAGAAGCCTTTAGGCTTTATGAGCTAAATAAGGATTCAGAACTCTTGATTCATGGTAAAATAGTAATCATTTCATACTCTTCCTGGAGCTATTTTTTTTAAGAAATGACCCTTTATTATTGATCATTTTTAAAACACAATCCTGATATAATTTTCTTAATCTCTGTGCCTTATTCATATGTAATTGTCTTTTTTTAGTAGTTTCTCAAATGGTAGAGAAAGTAAAATCAATCTGCTTCTTATAGTCTTGGGAAATTTGTTACCTGTATATGCCTTCTTGGATGTTAAAATATGATCTTCCAGGGTCTTCACAGCAGTCTTAAGATAGGTTGTTGAGATCCTAGTAGACCTTTAGAAGTCATTTATTATTTTGCTCATTTTTTTCTAGTATAAAATTATAACAAATGCTTAAAGAAATTAACTTATTTTAGCTTTTAAAAATATGTAATATTAGAAATTGAACACTTACTGTATTCCATGCTCTTATTAAATAAACTTGTGTCCTTTAGTACATCACAGACTAGAGTAGCTGATAAGTTCATAAATATACTATTGCTTTTTATTCTACCTCATTATAGAAATGGTCTGATTTAGTATTTTTATAAACTTATAGCTCCTAATATGAACTTACATTTTTGAATTTTTGGTACTGTTTCTAGTATTACTTTATTTCTAAATTTACTTGACATCTTTAAAAATAACTCTGGTATTTTGTTTCATATTTGTATATATTTTTATAACTTAATTCTTCATGGTAGCAAAGTTATTACTATAACAAGGATTTAAGGAAGTACTAGTTAATTTCTTTAAGGACAAAAAGAATAATTAGTAATGAGAGATTGGATTTAGAAATTTGAGTTTCTAATGCCTTGTTAATAGACATATTTGCTTTTATAAAACTTCTTTTATACAACCTTAGTAATTTTATATAATTCATATGCTTTAAATATGCTGTTAATTAATTTTCTTTTCTTTCAGTATTCCCTTGTGTGCCAGAACGTCCTGGGATGCCTTGTCCAGGAGAAGATAGTAAGTGTTTGTGTACTTTTTACATTGAAAAGAGTTATTTATGTGATGGCACAAGTCCAAAGAAGTCATAAATAGAACTTTTAATTAATTTGATTTCTTTTCCATTTTTTCAGTCCAATTTAGAATATATTAGTGACTGCCTGTGTTCTTCTTTTGCCAGATGAAATTCAGATAATTAATTACAACTCACATACTTGTCTGTTGTACATATAAAAGGAAAACTAAGTTAAATTTTAAGTCATGTGGCTTCATGTTTTTTAATTTTGGAAATTTTCAAATCTATGAAAACAAGAATACCATATATCCTTTGCACAGATTTACCAGTTATTTATATTTTCTCTGATCGCTTTACCTCTGTGCCTCTGTGTAAATATATGCATACACACATATATATAACAAGCACACATTTGTTTTATTTTTATTATACCATATGATAGTAAGTGACATGACTCTTTACCTCCGAATAAGATAAAATGAAGAAATCAACTATTGTTTGTTCTGACATAATTTACATATGCAAACTAATTTTACTGTAAGTTACTACTCTTTGGTATATGGTATAATGCATTAATTATGGATATTAGCTCATTTTCATTTATGGTTTCTGCTTTCTGTACATATCTATGACTTTAGAAGAAAAATAGCAGTGAATGTTTTACTTTGAATTAAGTGAAATTTCAAGGTCTGAAGTTCTAATTCTGTGACTTCATACTCCATAGTAAAAGGGGAAAATTGAAAAATTTTGGGTGTTAATATATGGGGTTAAATGGGATCCATGTACTGTATAAGAAGATGGGGTGACTGGGGTTGTGGCTCAGTGGTAGAGCACTTTCCCGGCATATGTGAGGCTCTGAGTTCGATCCTTAGCACCAAATATAAATAAACAAATAAAGTAAAAAATCCATTGGCAACTAAAAAATATTAATTAAAAGAAGAAGAGGAGGAGGATGGGGAAATAAAAAAAATAGGTGGAACCTTGAGGCAGTTGTTAAAAATGCACATTTGGATTTAACTAGAAATATTTCTCTAGGGTTCCAGGTGCAGAAAGATTAAAGCCACATAAGCTACCTTCACCCAACTGGATTTCTTTGTCCAAAGCCAGAATTTCAAAATACTTGCCATTGTAGAAGATCTTCCTGATTCCAGAGTCCCATCCTCATCCAAGTCTATCATAAATCTGTAGCATGCTTCCCAGATAAAATATAATTTCCCAGCTTTTATTATAGTTCATGCTTATTTTCCATCTTTACATTTACTAGTGGAGATTTTTACATCACCTCTCCACCAGTAAAATATATATTACTAAACTAATATGGAGGAAAACTGATGAGGTCTCTTGGCCCTTTTAATTCTCAGGCAACATTAAAATGCTTAAGGTATGTCAAGGTAGTTCAAAAAAACTTCTGAAACGGAATGTTCTTTCAGGTTAAAATATTATTAACAGAACTGTTCTGCTTTGGCTACTGCTCGCAATATAATTAAAGCAAATGCATCTGTATTTAAGGTTATTCTATCTGAAGATTTCTAATTCAGAGTATTACAACTGGTCTTTTCTATTTTAATGTGAAATAGTGAACTCAATGCTACATTTGCTTTAAAATATGAATTTAGACCCAGTGGCTCGGGAAACTGAGACAGGAGGATCATAAGTTCAAAGCCAGCCTTAGCAACTTAGGGAAACTATGCGCAAACTTAGTGAGATCTGTCTGAAAATAAAGAATAAAAAGGGTTAGGGATATTACTTAGTGGTTAAGTGTCCCTGGGTTCAGTCCCCAGTACCAAATAAAAATAATAATAATAAAGAATTTAGAAACTTAATTAATCTTTCCCTAGTATTAGCTATTGAGGTGAAATGTTATGACTAATGACTAATAGACAATATATGTGATAGTCTTAACCAAAATTAAGGTGGCCTAGACTGGACAACTTGTGGAACCTTTTTCTCTAAGTGTGTTTAAGAAAAGCATTAACATAAAACTGTTGGGTAAAAGTTGTTAGGGAAGAAGATACTCTTGTAGTTACAAAATATCAAATTGCTTAGGTAAAATACTGTGTATTCTGGTTTCTCTTTGTGTAAATCTTTCACCTTTTCATAAAGCAAAATGTATCTTTACAGTGAAGAGATCTGCAGTCGCTACATTTAACAGTGACTAAATATCTGTAGTGGGAGGCTACATTCTAACATTTGTGTGCCTCTTGATGTACTGCCATAAGAAATACACATCATCTGTATATTATTTTTTGGCCAAAAGTATTTAATACTGACCCATGAGGAAATAGACAAACCCAGAATATAAAACATAAGACAACTAAAACTTCAAAAAAAAAAAAAAAACCCATGAAAAAACTAAAATATATAAGACAGAATGACTGTTTTATAATAAGGGATTAAGAAAAAAAAATGAGATGCCTGACTCTTGATTAGAGCCTAGATAGAAAAAGAGTTTTAAAAGACACTTTTGGAGCAATTAGGAAATTTTTGTATATGAACTCTATATTGGGTGATACTGAATTAATGTTAATGTCTAAGACATAGGAAAGATACTGTGGTTATGAGAATGACCTTATTCTCAGGCAGTGAGTAGTTAGTAAAGGGTATTTAAGCTTTATGATGTGTGCATCTGGACTTCCAAATGTTTGAGGGAAGAAAATAAATTATATTTTTTATAGAGAGGAAAGCAAAGGTGACATAACATTAATAATTGGTAAAGCTACAGAGTGCAGGTTTTGTGTTTCAGCTTTCTGTGGGCTTAAAGTTTTTTTTTAAATAAAAACGTTTGGATTGGGTGCAGTGGCAGATACCTATAATCCCAGCAACTCTGGAAGCCTAGGGAAGAGGATCACAGGTTCAATGCCACCCTCAGCAATTTAGCGAGGCCTTAAGCAGTTTAGCAAGACCCTGTCTCAAAAAACAAAAAGGGCTGTGGAGGTGGTTCAGTGGTTAAGCACCCTTGAGTTCAATCCCTCTACCAAAAAAAAAAACAACCTTGGGGTACATTTAAAAAAAAAAAAAGCAATAGTAATAATTGCAACATTTATACTGCCTGGTCTTTATTTTCATTTAGTTTTGAAGAACATGTTTTACTTTTTCAGTTAATGGTTTTTATCAGTATATATTTTTTTCCTGTAGTAAATATCATGAAAAAAAATCACAAACTTAATTATAAAATTACTTCTGTTCATACTTGCTCTTTTTTTCTTTTCTTAACTTTTAACCTCTTCAGAATCCATCTACCGCAGAGGTGCCCGTCGCTGGAGAAAGCTTTATTGTGCAAATGGCCACACTTTTCAAGCCAAACGTTTCAACAGGGTAAATTTAGTTTGTTGGATGTTGGTAATTTGAGACATCTTTTTATTTTTTTTTTGACCCCCCTATGAAAGTTAGTTATTTTGTTCCTAAATCTTTTAGTCACTTTTGAAAAAGTAGCAGAGCCTTACATTCCCAGTTTAACTGGGGTAGTATACCTATATTTTTAATAGCATATCCTTTTGTACTTTTTTTTTTTTTTCTTTTTCAGTGTTGAAGGTTCAACCCAGGGCTTTGACATGCTAGGTACTCTACTATTGAGCTACACACCTAGCCCCTTTCACTCTTAAAAATGCTCCAAGTTGGGCTGGGATTGTGGCTCAGTGGTAAATGCTTGCCTAGCATGTGTGAGGCACTGGGTTTGATTCTCAGCACCACATATAAATAAATAAAGGTTCATCAACAAATAATAAATTTTTTTAAATGCTCCAAATTAGTTTATTAATTATGTGGTTACCCTAGCTATAAGAAATTTGCATTTTAAAATATAATCCAAACAAAACAAAATGTAATTCAAGACAGTTCAGAAAATTAGCAAGGTTTGTTTTGCAAACCATTTAATGTTGTAATTTAAGTTTCATTGTTTAGAAAATAAATACCAAATGCTTATCTAGCTTTTATACTATATCAAGCAGTTTTTAAAAATATTATTGTTCCCCACATTTTTTATTGGTGAATTATGGTTGCACATAATGATGGGATTTGTTGTTATACATTTATACATGCATACTATATAACAATATAATTTAATCAATATCAATCCCCAGCACTTGCCCTTTTCTCCCTACCTCTCACCCCTTAGTCCCTTTCCTGTACTGATCTTCCTTTGATTTTCATGAGATCCACCTCTACCTTTTTTTCCCTTTTCCTCTCTGGCTTCCACATATAAGAGAAAACATACATCCCTTTACCTTGAGTTTACTTATTTCACTTAACATAATGGTCTCTAGTTCCATTTTTTTTTGCTATAAATGACATAATTTCATTTTACTTTATGGCTGAATAGAACTCGTGTGTGTGTGTGTGTGTGTGTGTGTGTGTATCACGTTTTCTTTACTCATTTATCCATTAATGGACACCTAGGCTGGTTCCATAGTTTGGCTATTGTGAGTTGTGCTGCTATAAACATGGGTCTGCATATATTACTGTGGTATGATGACTTTCTTTTTTTATTCATTTTTAAAATTTGTTCTTTTTAGATATATATTACAGTAGGGTATATTTTGAATTATATCAGGCAGTTTTTCCAGTGCTTTTATGTATATTCATTTAATCCTTACAACAACCCTATGAGATAATTAGTATATAATTTAATTTTGTAGATGAGGAAAATGAAATGTAGGGCAGTTAAGTAACTTGCCCAAGATGACACAGCTAGTAAATGGTAGAGTCAAGCTTTGAAAGCAGGCAGGCTGTCTCCAGAAGACCATGTTTGTTTGTTTTTAATATTTTTTAGATGCTTATGGACCTTTATTTTATTCATTTATTGTATATGTGGTGCCAAGAATCAAACCCAGTGCCTTGCACATGCTAGGCAAGCACTCTACCACTGAGCTACAACCTCAGCCCAGAAGACCATGTTTTTAAATTTTTTGTAAATACAAATTTATGGACTTAATTTCTATTCTGAAATTAATGTTATGTCCTAAATTCATTAAAATTCATGAAATTAGAAATTCATGAAAATAGAAACAGCTACCTGGGATCCCAATAGCACTGATATTAAAAATGTCTAATAAATGAAAAGTCACTTCAGGTATTGCTGTTCAAGTACACAAGGCTGTGAGCCATAGTGGTGCATGCCTATAACCCAACAACTAGGGAGGCTGAAGCAGGATGATGGGAAGTTTGAGGCTGGCCTCAGCAATTTAGCAAGACCCTGTCTCAAAATATAGATAGAAATGTATGTAGATAGATTTATAGACAGATGGATTGATCAATCTGGGGATGCATCTCAGTGGTAGAGCACCCCTGGGTACAGTCCCCAGTGGTGGAGTGGGGAAGCAGGGCTTTGGCCCTGTGTGGTGGCTCATACATACAATCCCAGCCACTCAGGTTAAGGCTGGAGAATTGTAAAATATGAGGCCAAAACAGGACTTTAATTTGACCCTTGACAGTATGAAAAGTCTTATGTTTTTCAAGTTAATTCATTTTTTCTGCTTTCATTATTATGACTTGATTATGAAAATTTTTTGACCTTAATAACAAACAGCAACATGATTGCACACGTCACTATCTCCTTAAAACAAGCTCCCTTTCCTGTTTCTCTTTCACTGAACTTCATAGCTTTTGAAAAATTATATGTAAGGAAAATTTGTTTTGTTTTTTCATGTGCTGACAATTAACACCACGATGAAGGGAATTGAATTAAAGAAAAAAACCACTTTCACTCTTTTATGAGCAAACTCTTGGAAATGATTATAACCTTTTTTTGTTTGTTAATAAAATATTTTTGGCAGCGTGCTCATTGTGCCATCTGCACAGACCGAATATGGGGACTTGGACGCCAAGGATATAAGTGCATCAACTGCAAACTCTTGGTTCATAAGAAGTGCCACAAGCTAGTCACAATTGAATGTGGGCGACATTCTTTGCCACCGGTAAGACACAGTTGTCTTTTTTTTTTTTTTTTTAATATAGTATGCTTGATAACACTATTAAAACAAGGTTAACAAGATTTTGGGCTAGGGTTGTAACTCAGTAGTAGAGCGCTTGCCTAGCATGTGTGAGGCACTAGGTTTGATCCTCAGCACTAAATAAAAATAAGTAAATAAAATAAAGATAGTGTGTCCATCTGCAACTAAAAAAATATTTTAAAAAAATAGGGAGATGTTAAAGAACATCTCAAAAAATTGTTAGTGTGGGTAGGAACACTTTACATTCCACTTGATATATTGTGAACTTTGTAACTTTTTGAAATACTTATGATAATATTTATTTGTAGGATGTAGTTTTCTTTTTGACCTGTAAAATTCTCTGATTCTCTGATTAAGATATAGGAAGAACTATTTAAGAGAGTTTTTTCTCTTTAAATTCTTTACTTTATAGCTCCCATTATTCTATGCTTAAGCAAAAGAGTTAGGAGTATCATATTTGCTATTTAAAGTGTGGGATTACTGGGGAAAAAAGCATTTAAAATTTTGATTTTTCTCTTCATATTTTACCTATGTAATTAAGGCACACTTAGAAAAAATAGAGAATGCAGATGAATACAGGAAAAATTAGTTAAAAATTCTCATAGGCCAGGGTTGTGGCTCAGTGGTACAGCACTTGCCTAGCATGCGTGAGGCACTGGGTTCGATCCCTGAACCACATATTATGTCCATCTACAACTAAAAATAAAAATTTTAAAAAATATTCTCATAAATTCTGCCATCTAAAGGTAATTGTCTTTTGAGCTATATATTTCTAAAAATTTTCTTATGCAAATTTATTTACATAAGCATTTTCAATTTTTATATATGAAAAATATGTAAACATATAAGCATAGGTGAAACCGTACAATGGTGAGTGGATGGAGCAGTCCCCCAGCCTTAACAGTTAACACTTAATGATCAACTTTATTTTCATCTATTTCCCCCCACTAAACTTTTCTTTGCCCAGTGTTATTTTGAAACTTATTTCAGTATATACTTCTAAAAGAGGCTTTTTAAAAATATCTAACTAGAAAAAAAAAATTTCTTATTTCAAATATCCATCCAGATAATGCTCAAAATTTCAGTTGTTCCATTAGTGTCATAATTTTGGTTTTTCTTTTCATTAGGAATTAGGATTAAATTGTAATTGATTCATATCTCTTAGATATTTTTAAATTTACTAGTTCATCCCCTGTCCTTTTTTTCCTTATAATTTTATTGTAGAAGACTAGTATTTATCCAACAGAAGGCATGTGTATTGAGTGTCTCTTTTACATACCTTTTAACAAAAGTGAGATCATATGCATCCTATTTTTTAACCCATTTTTGTCACTGAACAATATAATCTGGTCGTCTTTCTATGTGTATTTATAGCTAGTCTCATCATTCTTAGCATAGTAATTTGTTACATGTCTCTACTATAATTTATTTAACCTGTGGTTGATTATAACTTACTTTCCTGGGGTTGAACCATTAGGGTTGTTTATAAAGAAAATCATGATGAACTGCATGATAAATAAATCTTATTTCCTTAAAGATCCAGCAACAGAATTACTAGGTTAAAAGAAATGCATTTTTAATAGGAATAGGATGCATCTTTCTAAATTGTCCTCTACAGTGATTATATCATGTTTATTTATTGGCCGCCTTCGGACATTTATTGAAAGTAGGATATTACTGTTAGCTCTTCAGTATTGGAATTATGGAGTGAGTTCATAGAATTTTAGGAATGGGTTTAAAGTTAAGGGGGGGAATCCAATTTTAAGGAAAATCAGAAGGCTACAAATTATAAACATAATTTTCCTGGTTCCTAATGATATTCCTGAGTATTCCTAGGTGATACAAAGACTTGTGTGTTCATACATGTAGAAGAAAGAGGGATAGTATTATTGATACTTTAAGATAGAGGTTGAATTTCTTCAAAAATCCATACCCTTCAAAGCCTGTCATTAAGTAGTTTTAAAATTATAATTGTGTATCTAATGTTCTTCCTCAAGTTTACTTCTTCCTGCATTAAATTTGAATATGATTAACAAATTAGTAACAACTTTGGTTTGAATTAACATTGTTCCTGAGATTATTTGCAGATGATTGTTGGTTAAGTCAGTTTCTAGAAGGTATTTCTTTTCCTTTTTTGGGCCACTGACACCTTTAAGAATGTTCAGAAAAATGGGAAACCTGTAAAATAAAACATAATTTTAAAGAGTTTATAAATATCTTGAAAACTATCTCTGGACCTCAACAAAGAACTCATATTCTAGAAATATTTTGCCAAAGACTTAAAGTGGAATTCAAGAAAGAAAAGATAATGTGAAGAGAAACAAATCAGAGTGCATAGGAGTTTAATTTCCAATCAGTGGTCTGAATTAGTTTTGTTTCTTTTTTTGTAAAATGTGACTAACGTTATCTCATTCACAAGAATGTTATAGGGTTTCATAAAACACTACTAGATATAATAACAACTGTCATCTAAGGTTTATTCTTTCAAATTTAAATTTTAATATTCCTCATTAAAAAAAAGTTGTTTCTTAATTTATAGGAATATTGTAATTTAAAAAGAATCCACTAAGTGTGTCTTTGGAAATGTTTATAGGAACCAATGATGCCAATGGACCAGTCCTCCATGCATTCAGACCATCCACAGACAGGTAAGAATGAGGCTCACATGAACCATTTTTCATAAACAAGGTAGTATTTGAAGACTTCTACCCAAGCTCAAAAACATTAATATTCTTCTCTAGCAATAGGAAATAAGCTTATTTTGTGGTGGTAAGTTTAGTCATAATATTTATTTAACCATATAGTTTACATAAATATTTTAGATATTTGTGTAAACTCTAAGAAATAACTTATTTTTCTAATTCAGATGCATTTCTTTTTGAAACTCTTTTACAAATTCATCAAACCTAGTTTGTTTTTCACAATGAAAAATTTAAAGCAGATTTTGTGGGCCATATTGACTGTATTTAGGTGACCGATTTTTATTCCAAGCCTTATTAGCAGAAGTAGATATTATGTAGAAGATAGAAATGCAGTTATAGGAAATCTAAAACTATGCTGTGAGTAAAAACATTAAATAGAAACAAAACCTTAAGCACAGATCTGGGAAATTTGGAGAGCAATTAAATGGGATACAACAGCATGATCTGCTCTTAACTCAATTTAAAAAAAAAAAAAAACATGAAAAAGGAAGATAGGAGTTTTTCTGGAAAGACAATGCAGTCTCTTGCTCCTGAAGCCATGAAATGTAGGGCGTTTTTCCCCAGTTGCTTTAAGGAATAAAAGCCCAGCATTATCATTTCTTTACTTTAGAAAGTCAGTGACATTTTTGAAGTGTGAAAAAAGTAAGAAGTGAAAATCATAGGCTCTCGATTGCTGTGCTTCAGTCATACTGAAAGATTTAAATAGGGTTTTTGAGTCAGCCATATACAAGGAATTGCTTGATTAATTTGTAAAAAAAAGAGAATTGTTTAAAAAATATTTATTAGAGCAATACTTGGCTACCAAGTTGGTGCTTTCTCTCTCTACCTAAAGATTAGGATTTGACTCTTAAGTTTATATATAACATGCTATTAGTAGGACAAGTATTCAGATTTAAATGATAAAAACTTACTCAGAAGAAAAAAAACTCAAAAAAAAGTGCAAACTCATAATCATCAAAAGAAATATTTATGTTAAAGTACTTTAGTTGTGTTTCTTCTTTTTAATTCTTGGGTTTGGATTTTTAGTAATTCCATATAATCCTTCAAGTCATGAGAGTTTGGACCAAGTTGGTGAGGAAAAGGAGGTAAGATAACTTGTTATAAATACACTATTTCAGTAGCTTTTTTTTTTTTTGCAGTGTTGGGGATTGAACCCAGGGCTTTATGCATGCAAAGCAAGCACTCTACCAACTGAGCTATATCCCCAGCCCCTCAGTAGCTTTTTAATAAGATACAACAGTTTAGAAATATGACACATTGGCTTAGGTATTAGATGATAGTGATAAAAGACAAATGGTTTTTAATAATTTGAGAATTTTATTCTGGTTTAATTTGGTAATTAATTTAAATTAGGAAATAGTTTGGGAAACATTTTCATTTTAAAATAATCTAAAAATCACAATGTATGGTATTTAGAATACTTGGTAATATTAGAATTATTGATTCTTTCAGTTTGTCAACTAATTGCTTATTTTAAATACAATTAAAATATCTTAACTGCCACTATTGTTTTCTACTAATTAAGCATTTTATCAGTTTTTAAAACAGAACAAATTCCTAATTTAAATTTTTTTGTGCTACGGGCACGCAAACACTGAGCCATATCCCTACCCCTTTTTTGTTTGTTTAATTTTATTTAGAGACAGGGTCTCATTAAGTTGCTTAGAGCCTTGCTAAAATGCTGAAGCTGGCTTTAAGCTTGAGATCCTCCTGCCTCAGCCTCCTGAGCCAATGGGATTATAGGCGTGTTCCACTGCACACAGAAAATATTTAAAATGGCAACCATTTATTTTTTTTTAAAGTGTGTAGTGCAAATCATTATTGTGGCTCACCCCTTCTAAGTTTGACTTCTTAGAGTAACCACTTTTTAGCCTTTGTGTGTGTGTGTGTGTGTGTGTGTGTGTGTGTGTGTATGTGTTTCCCCGTTTAATGTTTATATCTCTGTTTTTTGGTTTTTGAAGTTTATGTATTTCTGGACATAAAAAATTTAGTTCACACTTCCTCCTCCTTTCTCCTTTTCTTTTTAGTGTATGATAGGCATATTATATTTTGCTCTTCTCTTGGTTACCTTTTGAAAAAAACAACTGTGCTGAATGACAGGATTCCTCATGCCCAAAATCCAACTACTTAGGAGACAGGAGTCAGAAGGATTACAAGTTTCTGGCCAACTTGGGCAACTTTTAGTGAGACCCTGCCTTAAAATAAAATTTTTAGGAAAGTGCTTGTGGAGAATGATATTGGCCAAATTATATTGTTATATTGTGTGCATGTACAAATATGTAATAATAAATGTATAACTATAATGCACCAATAAAAAAAATGGGGGAAAAAAGATCTGGGGTGGGAACTCAGTGGTAGAGCACTTGCTTAGCATGTGTGAAGCCTGTGTTCAATCTCCAGTACCACCACAACAGTCAATAAAATCTAACTTTTTATTATGGAAAATTTCAAACATAAAGTAGGCAGAATAGTATAAGAAAACCCCTGTATCCATTACCCAGTTAAAATAATTAGTATTACATGGTTAGTCTTCTTATCTACCTGCATTTTTTGGTACATTATAATTACGTATAATAGTGACGTATAACAGTGGGGTTCGTTTTACCATATTCATACATAACATACAATTTGACGAATCTCATTTCCCTGAACCTTCCTTTCCCTCCCCTTCTCCTTCCTTCTAATCCTCTTTCTGGACTTTACAAATATTCCTTCTATTATTATTTTAATTAGTATATTTTATTTATATCTATTATCTATAACAATTTATTATTGTATCTTTATACATGAACATAGTATAATTTGGTAGATTTCATTCCCCAGTGTTCCCATATGCCTTCCTCTCCTCCCTCCCTCTTGATTCCTTTCCTCTACTCTATTGGACTTCTGTTTTTGTGATATTCCCCCAACTTTGTTAAAATATATATATCTGCCCAACACACAACACCAGCTTCTTCATATGAGGGAAAACATTTGATCTTTACTTTCTGAGTCTTGTTTATTTCACTAAGCACAGTGTCTCTAATTCCATCCATTTATTTTCAGATTACATAATTTCATTCTTCTTTATGGCTGAGTAAAACTCCATTTTACATATGTATACCATATTTTCTTTGTACCTAGGCTGGTTTTATAACTTAGCTATTGTGAATTTGCTCTTATAAACATAGGTATGCATATATTATCATAGTGTACTGATTTTAGATCTTTTGGATAAATACCAAGGAGTGGGTTAGCTGGGTGATATGGTGATTCCATTCCTAGTTTTTGAGGATTCTCCATACTGCTTTCCAAAGTGGTTGTATTAATTTTCAGTCCCACCAACATTGTATAAGTGCACTTTTCCCCCACATCCTCTCCAGCAATTATTGTTATTTATATTCTTGATAATCTCCATTTTTACTGGAGCAAGATAAAATTTCAATATAGTTTGGATTTGCATTTCTCTTAATTCCTCAGGATGTTGAATGTATATTCATGTCTGTTGGCCATTTGTGTTTTTTCTTCTGAGAAATGTTGGTTTAGTTCATTTGCCCATCCATTAGTTAGGTTATGTATTTTTTTGAGTTCTTTATATGTTCTGGATATTAATCCCCTGTTGGAAAAGTAATTGGGAAAGATCTTTTTACTTTGATGCTGTCCTACTTATTGATTCTTGGTTTTATTTCTTGAACTTCAGGAATTTTTTGAGACATTCGGTGCTTACACTCCTTTTTTTGTTTGAATATTTTTAAATTTTTTAAAAAATATCTTTATTTATTTGTATGTAGTGCTGAGGATCAAACCCACTGCCTCATTCGTGCAAGGCAAGTGCTCTACTACTGAGTCACAACCCCATCCCTCATTGTTTGAATATTAATCCTATGTTTGTTTGTTTGTTTCTAGCAATTTTAGTGTTTCTGGTCTAATTTCCAGGTCTTTGATTCATTTTGAGTTGCTTTTTTTTTAATATTTATTTTTTTAGTTGTATTGGACACAATACCTTTATTTGTTTTTATGTGGTGCTGAGGATCCAGCCCAGGGCCTCGCACTTGCTAGGCAAGCACGCTACCACTGAGCCACAATGCCAGCCGTTGAGTTGCTTTTTAATACCAGGTGAGAGATAGGAATCTAGTTTCATTCTGCTATATGTGAATTTTTAGTTTACCCAGCACCATTTGTTAAAAAGGCTGTCGGTTCTCCAACATATGCTTTGGGCACCTTTGTCAAGGATCAAATGACTTAATCTACATCCGTTTGTCCCTCTCTTCTATTCCAATGGTCTTCATGTCTTATTATGCTGATACCATACTGTTTGTGTTACTATTGCTCTGTAATATAATTTGAGATTGTCTGCCCACTTTCTCTACTGCTGTATTTTTGAAGGAAATCTGTTGGTCACCTGTTTAATCTCATATTCTTGTTCTGTTTTAGTCAATATATTGACTCTGTTTTAGCTACCTATACTCTCTCTTCCAATTTTTCTTTTAGTTACATGTTTTACTTTTATATTGCCAAGGTTGTCAACATTTATAATCTGTCTTACAACTAACAAAATCTTCTACATTTTGTTCACAGATTAAATGAGTCAGTCAAAGAAAGACATTCCTAATAATACGGACTAAATTCTCTGTTCTTCTGGTATATAAATTGTTAAAGTTTTCTTTCCTTTGGTCTTTGAAGCTTTTATATAGTTTGTGCGCCTTTTAGAAATCTTTACTGCTATTATATTATTATTAATTTCAGTTTGGTTGTTTATCAGACTCATCTACCTTTATTTTTACAGTTTTTAATATCTTCTAAATTGTAGAAATAGATGTAGCAGAATGCACAGATCATTAACATTTGGCAGATATGTTTTCACGAAGTGAACACTTATTTCATTTCATAGATGATCACTTGGATCAAGAATGAAGGTCCTTCAGTATCCTGAAATGCCATTTTATGCTTTCTCCCAGCCACTAGGACTCCCTTCTCCCCAAATACAACCACTGTCTTAACACCACACATTAATTTTGCCTTTTTGTTGTTCAAACTTTATATAAATGGATTCATACAGCTTGTATTCTTTTGTATTTGTATTCTTTTGATTTCACTGTTATGTCAGTTTTTCTGTTCTACTGTTGATTTGCCCCCCTAGATTTTGATTATTATGATTTTCTGCTATGAATATTCTTGGAAATGTGGTTTAGTTCACATGTATTAGCATTTCAGTTAGGTGTGTAACTAATTGAGGAGTTGGCTAGTTCATGTGCACATTCAACTTTAGTAGATAATGGCAACAGTTTTCTATTTGTGTCAGTTTCTAGTTTCACCAACAGGGTATGAGTGAGTTCATTGGTTCTACATCCTTGTCAACACTTTGTATAGTCAGTCTCTAATTTTAGCAAATCTGTTGAATGTTTGGTGGTGATATTATGATTTTTTTTACTTCATTCTTTTACTGGTTTGTCTAGAGATTGCATCTTGCATTCTTATTAAAATTTAGTACAAATTATTAATAATACTTTCATCATTTTCCAGAAGATACAGTGACCTTAGCATATTTCTGATTAATTTCTTTTTCTTTCCTGCCTTTGGTGCTTTTTGCATAGTTTAAAATTCTGTGTATGTGTGTTAGTGTTTTAAATAATTGATCCCTTAATTTGCCCACATTTTACTTTTTGTTCTTTCCTTTTTGTGTCATTGTTCTTCCATCTGACATATTTTTCTTCCTGAAGAACTCAATTTCATATTTTCTTATAAGCTTACCGGTGATGGGTTTAGTAGTTTTTACCTGAAAATGTTTTTATTTCACTTTGTTTTTGAGGACTATTTTTGCAGCATATAGAATTCTAGGTTAGTACTCACTTTCCTTAGGCCTTTTGAAGGTGACATTCCACTGTTACTTCTGTTATTTCATGTAGTCTTTCATCATTGTGTCTGAAAGGAACTGTGCTTTTTTTTTTATTTGATTTTTTTATAGTTTGCAGTTAAGCATTGACTTATTTTCTTACCATTCTCTTCTTTCTTAACCTGCCCTAATCTGTTTTTAATTCCTCTTTGTTTATTCTTATTATCATAGCAAACTATTAGTATTATTTCTAAATCTTCACATGATTCTGTCTTTCGTTAGCTGAATTGCTTCATGCTTGTTTCCTGTCTATTTAATCTAAAAATGCCTCTAAATGTGCCTTCTGATTAGCTTAGATCTCATATATCAAAACTTCCAGCATACTCTTTCATCCTCATGTCCCCTTGTAACTCCCAAAGTCAATATGAAGACTCGAACTATTATCCCAACCATTCTGTCAGTCTAACCTACTCACACACTTTATTTTTCCTATCAGTGATACTTCCAGTCCCCCAGTCACAAAAGTTATTGTCATTTTTTATTCATGCATTTCCATTGCCCCCATACCTTAAAGTTAACAGAAACCAGGTCTTTGTAAAGCCCTCCTTGAACATTTTTCAGATATCAACTCCCTTCCATTCCTACTTTTACTTTAGCTCAGACTTATCCAATCTCATGTGTATTATATGGCTTGCAATTATATAAGAATTAAGAACTTGGTGTTTATTTTAAGAAAATATTTAAAATCATTATAAGTATAACAAAGTGTTAGAAATGTAAGTGACTGCTGGGCACAGTGGTTCACACATCTAATTCCAGCAACTCGGGAGACTGAGGCAGGAGGATTGCAAGTTCAAGGTCAGTATGAGCAACTTAGTGAGATCTTGTCTCAAAATAAATAAAAAGAGCTGGGGATGTATCTTAGTGGTTAAATACCTCAGTATCTAAATAAATAAGTAAATGTTACTATTCAGTGTACTTTTAGGTATAACTCTTTGATATGAATGTTCTCCACAGGCAATGAACACCAGGGAAAGTGGCAAAGCTTCATCCAGTTTAGGTCTTCAGGATTTTGATTTGCTTCGGGTAATAGGAAGAGGAAGTTATGCCAAAGTACTGTTGGTTAGATTAAAAAAAACAGATCGTATTTATGCGATGAAAGTTGTGAAAAAAGAGCTTGTCAATGATGATGAGGTAAGCACAGTAGAGTTCTACTTCTAAGCTGTTAATCTCCCTCAGAGTACTGTATCAGAGAAAGCCTCAATGTTCATGTTTTATTATTTTGCTGTACCTTTCTTAATATGTTTCAAACAGATTATGTAAGAGATCTTTAGTCTGATTACTGCTAGATTTTTTTTTAAATAAAAATCAAACCATATATTACCAGAAGTCCTTGAACTTTATAAAAGTTTTCTAAAGCATTGCATAATACTGGAAGATTAACTAGTGGTGTTTTTCCCTTTTTGTATAAATTTTTGCTTCATGATTATCAGTGGCTCTGAAATTTAGCCTTGTTAGTTCATAGTTGAATTTGTGATACTTGAATTGCTAAAGAACAAATTTATCATTAATTTTGATTATTTAATCTCAGTTTGACGTAGTTTTGTTTCATATTTTAATTTAGGATATTGATTGGGTACAGACAGAAAAGCATGTTTTTGAGCAGGCTTCAAATCATCCTTTTCTTGTTGGGCTGCATTCATGCTTTCAGACAGAAAGCAGGTAAGACTGAAAGAGAGTGGGATGAATCCTGGGCTTCATGCATGTTGGTATATTATATAGTAAACCTGTCTGCTATAATTCATGAAGCAGAAGTCATGGAGAAGGAGAGAAAGTATTATGCTTACAGCTTCCTGCTACTCATAAAATAAGTAGTGATATCAGTTTGCCATTAGGAAATGACCTGCTAAAGGTGAAAAAGGAAACAGCCAGATTAGAATTATGGCAATAGAAATCCCACCTTTTAAATGTCCCTAGGATTCTAATTTTATGATTTAATGTTTCTTAGAGTTTAACTATGGGGAAAAAAATCTAACTTTTTAACCTTAAATGATAGTCAGAAGTGACTTATCTAGCAAATGTTGAATTGGGATGAGCAGATTACAAGTGTTACAATTTTTTTTTTGCCTTTTTAAAAAAACTTTATGTATTTATTTTGAGGAAGAGATTTTTTAATATTTATTTTTTAGTTTTCAGTGGACACAATATCTTTATTTTATTTTTTATGTGGCACTGAGGATCAAACCCAGCGCCCCGTGCATGCCAGGCAAGTGCGCTACCTCTTGAGCCACATCCCCAGCCCAAACTTTATTTATTTATTTTATGTGGTGCTGAGGATCGAACCAAGTACCTCACACATACTAGGCAAGAGCTCTACCACTGAGCCACATCCCCAGGCCGCAAGTGTTACAATTTTAGTATTAGAAGTAGCAGGATATAGAGTTATTATCATGCTGATGTACATTCTGATCTTTTGTACTCTGTGTACCCTTTGTTTCCACCAAATCTTTGGCATTTACTTTAAAGATTAAATCATAGAGAATGCTGTCTATATTGTGGCTAGTTAGTGTTTAAAATGTAAAGTTAATACTACCATATTTTGAATTTTGGTTTCATGGTTCTCTCCTGTGTTTTAGATTGTTCTTTGTTATAGAGTATGTAAATGGAGGAGATCTGATGTTTCATATGCAGCGACAAAGAAAACTTCCTGAAGAACATGCCAGGTAGGTTTTTAAAATGTTGTCTGTGTTGGATTTGTTTCAGGACTGCCTGACTTTTCATGTGCAGTAGTCGAAAAAAGTATGTAAATAATTTATTTTGATGCTAACTAGTTCTTTTTAAATCATGTTGTGGCTGAGCTAAGTTAATTTACATAATTTTAAATATGCATTATAATTTGCAGTTTATTTTTATTTGTTGGCCTTATCAAATGGTCACTTTTTATAGCAAGGTCAGATTATATTTTGAATTGTGAACATAGTTTTTTTTCCTTATTTCTTCAGCTGAATTTGGGGAAACTACCTCTGGTTTTTACTATATTCAAGTGCCAGTTCTGCTTCTATACCATCTTTCCTTTTGTAGGAGGAACTGAAACAGAGAATAAGTTCAGATTCTCTAATCACAAAATTAAGTAGTTTAGAAGGCATGTATTATGTTCCTGTAAAAATTATGATATTGTGGGGCTGGGATTGTGGCTCAGCGGTGAAACGCTCACCTAGCATGTGTGAGGCCCTAGGTTCTATCCTCAGCACCATGTAGAAATAAATAAATAAAATAAAGATGTTGTGTCCACCGAAAACTAAAAAATAAATATTTAATTAAAAAAATTATGATATTGTGGAAGGCACCATAAACCAGCTTAGATGTTTCATTTTCATTATTTAGGCCAGTTTTAGTTATCAGTGGGTTGGTAAAGTTTTCAAAAGTTTATTCTTTAATGTTAAATTTTATTATTGTAGAATAGTTTCTTTTAATTTCTTTTCTAAAATCTTAGTATGAATTTTTGAATAGTCAACTTAATATTTTTTTTCTATTTTATACCTGGCATTGTTTCTTAGTTTTTAAGGATAGTCATTGGTCCCTTAGAGAGGTGATAAAAACTATAGGAACTCTGATAAGTGTACATGTACACATACAACTTTGCCTCCAGTTGTAGAATTCTGGACTGCGCAAAGTTCATCCAAGGACCCAAAGTAAACCTCTGTTTAAAATTTTCAAACTAATCACATTATGAAAAATACTAGTTTAAGTTAGAATAGAACTTTTATAATTGTGTTTTGGGCTCAGTTATTTTAAAGTGGGAATCTAATTTTGGGCGGGGGAGCGATTTGGGGATTGAACTCAGGGTCATTCAACCACTGAGTCACATCCCTAGCCCTATTTTGTATTTTATTTAGAGACAGGGTCTCACTGAGTTGCTAATCACCTCGCTGTTGCTGAGGCTGGCTTTCAACTCACCATCCCCCTAACTCATCCTCCTGACTAATTTTTTTGTATTAAAGTACTGGGAGGAGAAAACTGCAGGTGGGAATAGAAGTTCAATACCTTACTCTAGAAATTTATTACAATTTTAAAATTTTAAGTCACGTGAATTTTTTTAAAATATTTTTGTTTTATTTGTAAATGGACACAATACCTTTATTATATTTATCTTTATGTGGTGCTGAGGACTGAACCCAGTGCCTCACATGTGCAAGGCAGGCACTCCACCACTGAGCTATAACCCCAGCCCTCATATGACTTATTTTTAAATTTATTTTAGGTTTTATTCTGCGGAAATTAGTCTAGCCTTAAATTATCTTCATGAGCGAGGGATAATTTATAGAGATTTGAAATTAGACAATGTATTATTGGATTCAGAAGGACACATTAAACTCACTGACTATGGCATGTGTAAGGTAAGAAAATTTTTCTAGTTAATAAAAAATAGTCTTCTGTAGCTCATAAAGTTGTCTTGGTAAAAAAAAATAACTGCATAAAGATGGGAGAGATAATTGCTGCTTTCGGCTGTTTGGAATTCTAGCACAAAGACAAATGTACTTTTTTTCCTAATAATTTGCAAAATTCCCATATCGTCTGTATTTTATGTGCTATAAGAGGAGTTAATTTCTTTTCATGATTTATAACTTTTTTCTGGAAAGTTGTGACATTATTGAAGAAAATTTAGAAATAAAAATTATCTACAATTCCATTACTTGAGCATGACATTTGCGTGTGACCTCTCAATTTTTGCTATGTAGTAGGAGTCTATTTTTTAAATAATGCATGTTCAGAATTTTCCCTGAAGTCTTAACATTTTTATATTTAAATTTTAACTATCTGACACAGAGTATAGTAAAAATCAAATAAGAATTTTTGTTACTCTCAAAACATATCTTCTTTATTTCTTGTTTTATTTTTGTGACAAGTGTTTCATTTGAAAGTCTGATCTTTTTCCACAAAACATGCAGGGTACCATTTTATTTATTGAAGCAGCTGGTACAAAATTACCCTCACAAGAGTGTAAATGTGTGAGTTGCATTCCCCATTCACTTAATGGTAGCACCACCAGGATCCAGAGATTTCTAAATGCCAACATCACACAAGATAGTCTAATCATATTGAAGATTTAATTTTATAATCTGTTAAGAATAAATTAGAAAATAAGATCTTCACAGACTATATTTGTAGCCTGGTGTGGTGGTACATACCTTTAAGTATAGCTACTTGAGGGCTGGGGATGTGGCTCAAGCGGTAGCGTGCTCGCCTAGGTGTGTGCGGTCCGGGTTCGATCCTCAGCACCACATACAAATGAAGATGTTGTGTCCGCCGAGAACTAAGAAAAAATAAATAAATGTTAAAATTCTCTCTCTCTCTCTCTGTTAAAAAAAAAAAAAAAGTATAGCTACTTGAAAGACTGAGGCAGGAGGATATAAAATGTGAGCCCCATTCTGGGCACCATAGTGAGACTGTCTCAAAATAAAAGCAAAACTAATTTTGCTTTTATGGGTAATACTAAAAGCCATTTTTCTTGTGATAATCCTTATAGTATTATATGGATGTTCAGTGATAAATAATTAGAAAGTTTAGTGATTAGAAACCCCTGTGTGCCTTTCAGTCATATTTGTGATACCTTTTTTATTTTTGTGCCATTTTTTCCTCTAGGGAACCCTCCCGCGATTTTAAAATAAAAGTGGCAGTAATAATGAAATCTTAGATTACATAAGAAAAGTCAAAACTGAACAAAAAATATGAAGAATGTTAACTTTGTTACAAAGTCTGCAAATTAAAACTGACACCTATTTTTGTCTGTCAGATATTGGCCTATAGGTAAAAGAAAATAATGAAATGGGCATTTTCATATGTCTGTGATGTGTATATAAATTATGGTAAGACCCTGGGTTCAGTCCCCAATACCAGGGAGGAAAAATTATTGCATCTTTTTGAAAAACTATTGTATGTCAAAAGTAATGTTGGTTAGATTGTGTATTTTGAGTAAATATTTTGGTCTATAAGACCAAAATTTTTATTTATGATAAATATTTATTGACTTTGTTAGTTAAATATTTTTTATTTTATAAGTCATTTAAAGTCAAAAAATCTAACAATATAAAATGTTCATAACATTAAATAAAGCTTTAAAGTATTGTCATATTTTATTATATAGCATCAAACACTAATTCTGTTTACTTTTTTATATTTATTATAACAGTTTTGTTTTACATAAACAATGAGAACATAAAGTATTAAGGCAGGCTGACTTCCTATTTCATTTTTCCCCTTCTTTTCTCTCCTTTCCTCTGTCCCTCCTTCCCTCTCTTCTTCCTTTTTTCCTTTTGTCTTTTGTTACTTTCATTGAAAAAATGAAATTTGTTGGTCATACATCCTCACTCTTTAGAAGGATCTTCAATCAAGTTAGTCAGGATCTTTGGTAAACCTCAGAGATTGGCCTGCCTATCTCTCTCTGCTTTTCCCACCTTCTGCAAGAGCTACTTAGTTTTATTAATGGGAAAGAACACGAGGATAGGAATTTCTGTTCAGTGACTTTACTAACAATATTTTGTCTCTTTTTTTAATATTTATTTTTTAGGTGTAGTTGGGCACAATACCTTTATTTTATTTATTTAATTTTTTTATGTGGTGCTGAGGATTAAACCCAGGGCCTCGCACATGCTAGGAGAACACTCTACCATTGAGCCACAACCCCAACCCCTGTCTCTTCTCTTACTAGCACATTTACTCCCTTTTGATGTGAAAGTTCATGGGAAATGAACTCTCTTAAAATTTGGATGCTTCTATCTTGTGACTTAGAGTCAGTATTTAAACTTACCTAAAGTGTAACCTCCTGCAAATATTGAGTTAATTTCTTTTGCTGGTAACAATTTCTAGATAAACTATAAATGCTAAATTTTTTTTCAGTTAATTCAGAAATACTTCTTTAGGTTTAGTTAACTTAATTTCTTCAGGCTCATACTAGATACCTTTGGAGTACAGAGGATAGTGATTTAAACTTAATATTTTCAGATTTAATATTTGAAATATTTTATGAGTATTAATTTTATTGAGTGAAAAAATAGCCATTTATGAATTTTTTTTTGTCAACAGGGAAATTTTAACAATATCTATGTTGTGCCATAGATAATTTAGCTAATAGGCCTACATTTAGATATTCAGTGAGTGCATGATTTTAGTGTAGCTCTGTTACATGTTACCAGACTGTCTCTTGCTTCTGTTTGTTGTCTGGAAGTGTGTGTCATTTATCATGATAATGTGTGACAAGCCATGTCAATAAAAATAGGGTCGGAGTTGTGGCTCAGTGGTAGGACGCTTGCCTAGCACATGTGAGACATTGAGTTCAATCCTCAGCACCACATAAAAATAAATAAAATAATGTCCATCTACAACTAAAAAAAATTATAAAAAATAATATAAAACATCTTAAGTCATATTTATAGTTATTAGTACATAAAACTAACATGGCCAGGCATAGTGGCGCATGCCTGTAATCCCAGTGGCTTGAGAGGCTGAGGCAGGAAGATCCTGAGTTCAAAGCCGGCCTCAGCAACTTAGGTCCTGAGCAACTCAACATGACCCTGTCTCTAAATTAAATATGAAAAAGGGCTGGGGACATGACTCAGTGGTTAAGCACCCCTGGGTTCAATCCCCAGTACCAAATAAATAAGTATGTATATCCCTATTAGAAATAATTTTTTAAAAAAATCCTTGGGATAACAACCTGTTACTAAGTATTTCTTGTAGATGTTTATAGTAGTGTTTAGATAGTAGAATAAAATTTGAAGGAAAATATGTATACCATGCCCAGAATATCTCTGGAGGGACGCATAAGAAGCTATGGTTTCATCTGGGAAGCTAAAACTGAATGCATCAAGAACAGTAATGAGAGGAAGATTTGATTATCAGTATACTTCCCACACTCCATTGTCAGTTTGGAATTTTGTTACATGTGATCTAATAATAGGAAAAGGGTTAAATTCTAGTTACATATATTTAGTTGAATTTCATAATTATTAATAATAGAAAGTCTGTAATTAAGGAACACTTATAAAGTTTAAAAAAAAAGACAAAACACCAACAACAAAAAGGAGCCAGGCCCAGTGGCACATGCCTTTTATCCCTGTGACTCTGGAGGCTAAGGCAGGAAGATCACAAGTTCAAGGCTATCATCACATCAGCARTTTAGGGAGACCCTATTTTTTAAAAAAAAGGTATGTAGCTCAGTGGTGAGGTGCCTTTGTGTTTAGTCCTCATTTTTATTTATTTATTTATTTTAAGAGAAAGAGAGAGAATTTTTTTAATATTTATTTTTTTAGTTTTTGGCGGACACAACATCTTTGTTTGTATGTGGTGCTGAGGATCGAACCCGGGCCGCACACATGCCAGGCAAGCGCGCTACCGCTTGAGCCACATCCCCAGCCCAAGTCCTCATTTTTTAAAGATGCTTAATTATACATATAATCATATTCTGCCCCTTTTATTTTTAGACTATCTTTTTATTATTTACTTTTTTTTCCACAGTACTAGGGATCAAACCTGGGGCCTCTTAAGTGCTAGGCAGTTATTATACAACTGAATTATATCCCCAGTCTACTGTTGATTCCTTATTTAGTTGCCTTATCTGAATGTCATTGGCTCTTTGAAATACACTGAGATTTCTTTTATGACTTAGTATCTGGTCAGTACCCCATGTGTACTTTAAAAAGATATGATTTCTGTTTTGCATGCAAACAATATCTCTCTTTTAATGTTTCTTTCTCCTTTCCCCACACACATATGGACACATATGTTCTATATGTATGTTTTATGTGTGTTTTTATTATGCATATATGTATATTAGCTATACATATATATTAGTTATACATATATCTGCATATATCTAGTTTTCACATTTTTCTCTGTTTACTAATTATTGATTTGTGTAATCTATCATTTCTTTTTAAAAAAATAGTTTTTTTAGTTGTAGATGGACACAACATCTTTATTTTATTTATTTGTTCTTATGTGATGCTGAGGATCGAACCAGTACCTCATGTGTGCTCCACCACTGAGCCACAGCCACAACCCTATAATCTATCATTTCTGATATAGATATGTTAAAAATCTCATCAAGATTAAAGATTGTGAACTTCTAATAATTTTGTCTATTTTTATTCTTCATTTTGAGAAAAATACAAGTTTGTATTTATTATAATTTCTTGGTGACTGTGCCATTCATTATTGTGCAGTATCCCTAGTTAGGCTTATTAATGTATTTTGCATTAATTTTCACCATCTTATAGCTATTAAAATGAGAACCAAAAATCTTGTGCCATAGAAAAAATGAACAACGTTATGTCAACAGTTGTTGTGTCAGGAGGTGGGACTTAAAATGCTGCTTTTCTTCCTGAAATACGATTCATTGTATTCCTATAATTTAAGTTTTTGTGTTAAATTTTAACCGGAATATAAACCATTTTAAATGCATTTTAAAATTCTTAGTTGAACTTACTTTTTAGCAACATCTAATAATCTTTTTTTAAGCTATTTAGTGGCAATCCATAATTTTAATAATAAATGCATTTGTTCTAGTGATTATTTAAGGTTAATATATTACTGATGCTGAAGTTAAGTGACAGATAAAATAGAGGAGGTGAATTTAAAACAGAATTTTAGATCTTATTCTTCTTTCTTTGTTTTGTTTCATAAAAGGAAGGATTACGGCCAGGAGATACAACCAGCACTTTCTGTGGTACTCCTAATTACATTGCTCCTGAAATTTTAAGAGGAGAAGATTATGGTAATAAATACATAAGTGATATTTCAGCTATTGCTAAGTGGGTGGTTAAATGTGGTAACAAATATATTATAGTAAACTACAGCATTTTAATACTGATCTTACTAATGTAAACTTTCTTGATTCTGTTAAAATATACATGAAGACCCTCAGACTCTGAAATCAGAGAGTAGGACTTGGTGCTCTATAGGGGTACAAATTTAAATAATATTTTATTAATGACGAACACTGAAGAGTGATAGGTACTTTTCTGAGCAGCTTATATTATATTAACTAATTTAATTTTGCAACAACCCTCTGAGGTAAGCATTGTTGATTCCCATTTTACAGATAAAGAAACTGACATACAAAAAGTTTAAATAATATGCCCAATGTCCTAATGACTACAGTGTTACAGAGTAAGGGATTCATAACAGCAGCCCTGTGATTCCAGAGTGAGTCATGATAGAAGGTTCTCCAGATTTTTGGGGATATTTCCCTCAGAAATCTGTAAGAGGGTAGAAAGATTGGCTGGCTGTCAGGCACCAGAAAATAAATTTTCCTCAAAAAGGATTTGACTTTTTGAGTTCTGGTCCTATGACTTCAGCAAATGTAAAGGGGGATGTGGTACTTTTGACAATTGCTCAGAATATGAATTCAGGAGTCTTTAATCAGCTAGCAAAAAAAAAATCAAGTTTTAGACCAAAGAAGCTTATTCTCCAATGCTATATAATTATATCCTCAAAACAAAATATTAGATAGTGGGCATGAGTCTGAAATTACAACTATATTTGGAAAAAAAATTATGTTTCACTGCCCATAATTTTATATTCTGATGATCTTTTGGGCACTTACCTTTGATGGTAAGTGACATATTTCTGTAATTTTCAGAACTTACTCAGATATTATAATGTAATATAATATATTAATATTATATATAATATATATTAATATATAATATAATTATAATATATTATAATTTAGAGTTTACTGTCTCATTGTGTTTATTTTTTTATTATGTGACAAAAATGAACCTCCAATTACTGACTTACAAGCATGCAGAGTGGATAATTTATTGCTTTAAACTTTCTTTCTGAAGGTTTCAGCGTCGACTGGTGGGCTCTTGGTGTACTAATGTTTGAGATGATGGCAGGAAGGTCTCCGTTTGATATTGTTGGGAGTTCTGATAACCCTGATCAAAACACAGAGGATTATCTCTTCCAAGGTAATTTGCAATACTTTATAGAGATTCTTTGTGAATAACCTACTCTAGAACACAAAGTGTGCTTAGGGTATTACTTTGAATAAGAAAAAGGATAATAATCTGAACAGTATACTCCTTACTTAATGAGATTTTGATTTTTTTTTAATACATCCTTCCTGCCCCTCTCATCTCCAGTCTCATCTACAGTTACCTTCTTGTATTCAATCATTGCAATTGATTCCATTAGCTGATATATCACAAACCTATATTGGAAGAGGGAATCCTATGGCTAGAGAGGATCATCTTCATGAAACCTGAAGCTGAGGATATAAGTTCACAAATATTATGTGGGGCGTAGAGTACCAAGAAGATAAGAGGGGTCAGAAGGTGGAGGAGGGGAAGGCTCATGATGGGAAGTACAAAGAATTGAGCATGACGGATAGGCAAAAAGGCCTCCTAACACACAGTCCAAAGTGTGGCCATGGGATCCTGCATTTAATAATTACCAATCACAGAATATGAATAGGCATTTATTATACTAGAAAAGTTAAGCTGAGTATGGTGGGACACACCTGTTATACAAGCTACTCAGGAAATTGAGGTAGAAGGATCCCAATTTCAAGACTACTCTAGGCAACTAAACAAGACCTATCTCAAAAGAAAAAATTAAAAGAGCCTAGCATGTTCAAGGCCCTGGATTCAGTCTCCAGTACAGGAAAAAGAAAGAAAGAAAGAAAGAAACCCAAATGGGCCATGGAATATGTGAAAAGACCTTCAACTTCACTAGTATCTAGAGGAATGTATATTAAAATATTAAGGATGGGCTTGGGTTGTGGCTCAGTGGCAGAGTGCTTACCTAGCATGTGTGAGGCACTGGGTTTGATTCTCAGCACTACATATAAGTAAATAAAAGCCCACCAGTAACTAATAAAAATATTTTTTGAAAAATTAATGATCTACCATTTCATGAATTTGGCAAAAATTTTAACATTTAATAATCAGTGTCAGTGAAGGTATAAAGAAATTGGAATGCTCAGACGCTGCTAGTGGGAGTAAAAATTGACACAATAGCTTTGGGGAATGATTTGGCATTGTTTAATAAAAATAATTATTATATGTGAAGCATTTTATAAATATTAACTACTTCAAACTTAATAACAAATCTTCAAAGTAAGTATTATTTTCCTGGTGAGGAAACTGAGGCACAATAAAGTAATCAAAGAATAAAACATTCTCATAAATGATACTACAGTGCTTAGATTAGAGGCCATATCCGAGGAGAGAGAGGTAATGGAAGTACAAAAGTGGTTTAGTTGGGTATGTAATATCTTATTTTTATTGTTGCAGTGCCTTAAATATCTCAAAACAAAAACTTAAAAATCAAAGCTATGTGAAGGTTCAACACAATGCTATGATTTTTATCTTTCTAGTTATTTTGGAAAAACAAATTCGCATTCCACGTTCTCTGTCTGTAAAAGCTGCAAGTGTCCTAAAGAGTTTTCTGAACAAGGTAAAATTTGTGTGTAAATATCTTTTGTGTTTTGTTTCTATATAAATCAAACCAGTAAGGAGAAAGAAGCCTAGGCAACTTCCAAACAAGCAAGGTATGCAACTTTTTCAGTTATGTCTGTAATACCTCTCTTAACCAAAGAGTAAATGACAGCATAAGCTCCTAAGATGATTTTTTCCTTTCTACTTTGCCAGTGTAATTTACCCCCAGCTACATGTTACTTATGAATTTTTTAATGTATATTTTATGTATGTGTGTGTATATACCATATACTCAGTAAAGGAAGAATTTAATATTTGGGGTTAGCCACAACTGTACTATTTTCCCATTTTTTCTATTATTATCCACAGAATTTATTCATCATCATGTACTTTTTGAGCACTTGGGCAGTAATATTCCCTATAAATTGTTATATTGAAAACCCTATAATTAGATAAAATTTAGAAGAAATGAAATCCTATCCTAAAAATCTGAACATGGTTTAATTGTTGCAGTTTGTGGGCTAGAGAAGTTTTAGGACCTAAGGTTGTAACTTTTGGTAATGATAAATTCTACTTTTAATGAGTATAAGTTGGTATGCATTTACCTACTAAGATAAACAGGTAAGATAATGGTGATTTTTTTTTTATGTTTTGCTTTTATGTTTATTTTTTAAATATGTATTTATTTTTATTTTTTTAACTTTTTAATGTTTTGCTTCTGTGTTTATTTTTTATTTTTATTTATTTTTAATTTTTTAACTAATGGTGTATTTTTAATAAAATCAGAAATTGAAGAACTTGTTTTAAATAAATACATTATGTGAGGAAAGATTTAAACTTGAAACCTAATCTTTCACAAAGTGAACAATTGAAAGTGAGAGGGTTAATATGTAAAATAAAATGTTTTTTGTCAAAAAGAAAAACAGGAACATGTTCTCATTCATAGTAATAAATAATCCAAGACTTCATAATTTGTAGACTCCTTTACTTCAGTGATTCCGGTAATGGTTATATCATTGTCTTACTCAAATTATGCTTTGTTGCTGTAATTACTGCATATACCTTTAAAATTGAGCTAAGAATGAACCTATGAAGTTTGGTGGTTTCCATATTTTGATTGACACTAGCCCATGTCAGAGAAACAACTGGTTGCTGCTCAAATGATGCTGCTAGTCTCTTTTCCTCCCACTTTTTCTTAAGCAATGAGTGGTGACCATTCTCCACTTCAGTGACATAAGAACACTGAGGAAATCTTACATATCACAAAGTCTGGATAATTCAACTTGGGTCTAGTATTGTACTTTCTAGAAATAAAAGGTAGATAATTTCAGCTCAGAAATAAGATATCAATTAATAGGCAGGAAACTCTGGTCACAAAATTGAATTATTTTGAAGCATGACATTTACATAATTCTTAGAACATTTTTTTCTACCCTAGGACCCAAAGGAACGATTGGGTTGTCATCCTCAAACAGGATTTGCTGATATACAGGGGCATCCATTCTTTCGAAATGTTGATTGGGATATGGTTTGTAAATTTTTATTGTTTTCTGTATTAGGTTTTATTGATACCTTGGGCCAAATTTTACTGTCTTAAAAGAGTGTTGAAAAACTCATGTCACAGTTTTTTAATGTTACTGTATTTTTTTATATCTTTTTAATTTATTTTTTTAATGTGTTGCTGGGAGCGAATCCAGTACCTCACACATGCTAGGAAAGCACTCTACCACTGAGCTACAACCACAGCCCTCATGTATCCCAGTTTAAACAACTGAAAACAACTCTCTCAAATGCTTTTTTAAAAATATTATTGAAATGTTAAAAATTAATTTATTTTAATTAGGTGTATATGACAGCAGAATGCATTTTAATTCATTGTACACAATTGTAGCACAACTTTACATTTCTATGGTTGTACACGATTTAGCATCACATCATATGTGCAGTCATACATGTACCTTGGGTAGTAATGTCCATCTCAGTTCTACCATCTTTCCTGCCCCCTGCACCTCCCCTCCTCTCCCTCCCCTTTGCCCAATCAAAGTTTCTCCATTTTTCCCATGCCTCCCCCCCCCCGCCCATTTTGGATCAGCATCCAATTATCAGAGACAACATTTGGTCTTTGGTTTTTGGGGGGATTGGCTTACTTCACTTGGCATGATATTCTCCAACTCCATCCATTTACCTGCAAATGCCATGATTTTAATTCTCTTTTAATGCTGAGTAATATATATATATATATATATATCACAGTTTATTTATCCATTCATCTATTGAAGGGCATCTAGGTTGCTTGCACAGTTTAGCTATTGTGAATTGAGCTGCTGTGAACATTGAAATGGCTGTGGTTACTATAGTATGCTGATTTTAAGTCCTTAAGACCAAGGAGTGGGATAGCTGGATTAAATGGTGGTTCCATTCCAAGTTTTCTAAGGAATCTCCATGCTGCTTTCCAGATTGGTTGCACCAATTTGTAGTCCCACCACCAATGTATGAGTATACCTTTCCCCCCACATCCTCACCAACATTTTTTGTTGTGTGTATTCTTGACAACTGCCATTCTGACTGATATGAAGATGGAAAGATCTTTGATATTCTTGGATAGGCAAAATTAATATTGTCAAAATGGCCATACTACCCAAAGCATTATACAGATTTGGTGTGATTCCAATTAAAATCCTAACATCATTCCTTATAGAAATAGAAAAAGCAATCATGAAATTAATTTGGAAAAATAATAGAGAGACCCCAAATAGCCAAAGCTATCCTGAGCAAGAAGAGTGAAGCAGGAGACGTCACAACACCAGACCTTAAAGTGTACTACAAAGCCATAGTAACAAAAGCAGCATGGTATTGGCACCAAAATAGACATGTAGATCAATGGTACAGAATAAAAGACACAGAGACAAACCCACATAAATACGTTATCTCATACTAGACAAAGGTGCCAAAAACATACAGTGGAGAAAAGATAGCTTCTTCAACAAATGGTGCTGGGATAACTGGAATCCACATGCAGCAAAATGAAAATAAACCCCTGTCTCTCACCATGCACAAAACTCAACTCATTGTGGATTAAGGACCTAAGAATTAGTCCAGAGACCCTGCGCCTAATAGAGGAAAAAGTAGGCCCCAATCTTCAATGTGTTGGATCAGGCCCCAACTTCCTTAGCAAGACTCCTAAGGCATAAGAAATAAAATCAAGAATTAATAAATGGACCTGACCCTTTCCAATGAATGAACTGACTCTTTTCCATGAGAGCTCAGTAAGACAGGCAAAGGGAAGAGTAAAATAGAACTTCTCAGCTCTTCCCAGTATACCAAAACACCCGTGACATATAGAGTCAGGAAGACATAAAGCCATGAGAATTATCAGTCTTGCCTTATATTGTATTCAATATTTATAACACACCATCAGAGTGTAAAGATTCCTATGGATATTTAATCTTTGCTTTTTATGGACTGGGATAAACATATTCTCCTCTTATAAAAAGACTCTTGGGAAAAAAATTAATAAATGGGGTGGACTCAAACTAAAAAGCTTCCTCTCAGCAAAAGAAACAAGGAGGTGAACAGAGAATCTAATTTTGGGAGCAAGCTTTTGCCACGCACACGTCAGAGCACTTTTCTCCAGGATATATAAAGAACTCAAAAAACAACACCAAAAAAACCACCCAGTCAATAAATGGGCTAAGGAGCTGAACAGACACTTCTCAGAAGAAGATATACATTCCATCAATAAATATATGAAAAAATGTTCAACATCTTTAATAATTAGAGAAGTGCAATTCAAAACTACTCCAAGATTTTGTCTCAAGTGCTTTTTTAAAATCTTCGCAACTAAAACAATTATAATATTAATGTAATAAAAACAGGTCATAATATTGTTGAAGGTCATATTAATGTTCAGATTTGCAAATTATGTCCATTGTTGTTGTCATCATATAGAGCCAGGGACAGTGGCCTATGCCCATAATCCCAGGGACTTGGGAAGCTGAGACAAGAGAATTGCAAATTTGAGATCAGCCTCAGCAACTTGGTGAGACCCTGTCTCAAAACATTTTTTAATCATTTTTTTAAAGAGCTGAGGTTGTAGCTCAATGGTATAGTGTCTCTGGGTTTAACTGGTACCATAAAAAAAATTATGTATGTATGTATGCATATGTGTGTATGTATATATACATGTACATACATAGATATATACATAAATACATACATATATATATCATGTATATTATATATATATAGTGTGTGTGTGTGTTTGTATGTATTTAGAACCATGCCTAGAGAAACATCAGAGCAGAGGAAAAATTTAGGTGTGGAATTTTTCTAAGAATGTAGGTTTGAGCTGTCATCTAATATGTCTTTTTAGATGGAACAAAAGCAGGTGGTACCTCCCTTTAAACCAAATATTTCTGGAGAATTTGGCTTGGACAACTTTGATTCTCAGTTTACTAATGAACCTGTACAGCTCACTCCAGATGATGAGTAAGTAATTCTGTATACTGAAATATTTTTAAAATTCTTTGAAAACCCATTTTTAATGGTTACACAATGTTTTATTATCATATTATACTATAATTCATGTAGCCAGTAGGTTACTGGATATTTGAACTCATTATATATTATCAATTATAATAGTAACTGTCATTATTCTTTCTTTGCTTTACATGCATTATCCTAATTCTCACAACAACCTTGTAAACTAGGTATTGTCATCTTCATTTTACAGATGAGGAAACCGAGACTCAGAGAGGTTAAGCAAAGTTACACAGCTGTCAGGTGGCAGAGTCAGGATTCAGACCCAGATCTGACTGACTGAGGCCTCTGCTCTTTCCACTGTGCTGCACTGTTCCCCATTTTGATGATGAGCATCTTTGTCTGGGTTTCTGTTACTTTAAAAAAATTATACCATTATCAAATTTAGCCAGCAGTGATCCAGTGTTTTTTTGTTTTGTTTGCTTTGTTTTTGTTTATGTTGCATCTTTTAAAAATATAGGTTAGAATAATTTGTAGACATTTTGATCATTTATCTGTCATTACAGATTCATTCTCTGTAAACTCAAGGAGGCCCATTTGGTTGATAGTCACTTCACTTATATCTTCATTCTTATCATGTTCTTCACAGCAGCTGTTCCAATGGTTTATATTTTTTAGAAGGCTTCATTCCTACCCCTGTCTCCATCACTCTTAATGGATTAACCTTGCCTTAAGTTGACTTCAATAATTTAGACCTCTCTGGTTTAAGTTCCTTTTCTTGCTCAGGTATCCTGATTTTACCCCTAAATCATAACCCCTCTTTGAACCAGAATACTTTTTTTCATATTTTCTTTTCAAACATTTAAAAAGAATAATTAATGAATGCTCATGGTAAAAGAAAAATAAACAAGCAGTATCTGTCTCTTCAGAGTAGTCAACAGAGATTGTCTTTGTACTTTCTTGATGCCAACAAGTCAAATTGACATCTTAATTTCTAAATTACAAAGCACTTTTTGGTCAGTCTTCATCTACCCTGATATCTATAAGGTACTTGGCACTCAGGGCCTTGCCTTAGGTAGTGCTGCCCACTCTGGCTCTGCTTCATCTCAGCAACTACTTATTTGTCTTATATTTTCCTTTCCCTTTGAGACCAGGCTGCTCCATGGTTCTATGATTGCCGCAGTCTGGCTGGGCACAAATAACTGAGCCACCACAAAGCCCTGTAGGTTCAAACAGCAACTCTTTATTCCCAGACTCTCACCGGCACTCTGCACACACTTCCTGGGAACACACTCCCTCCACCAGGCACTCTACACACACTTCCCGGGAACACACTCCCTCCACCAGGCACTCTACACACACTTCCCGGGAACACACT